AAAAAAAAAAAAAAAAAAAAAGGGCATAGTAAAAATAGCCCCCAAACCATTTGAAAGGCAACAGATTTCTTTACAGAGTGAGGTAGAGAGTAGGGCATAATATTTATCTTACTAATTTTCTTTGGTGTTTTCTTATATTGAAATTACCTACGTCTTTACCAAAAAACTTCCAAAAAACAAAAAACAAAAAAAAAAAACCCTAACTAATACCACAAAAAGGGGCCCTACGATTATGCTGAGTAATGAGAATGAAATTGGAGATGTTTTTAAAAAAGCCTCAATAATATCTTCATGTAAAAATGAAAGCTGTCAGCAGCTGAGTATTTAAACTTAACTTATAAAATATATTTTTTTCTTAGCCAGAAAAAATTATCCAATTTAAATAACCTCAGTATGAACTCAAGAGTGGTATGTTAGACAAAACATACCACTGAGTCATTCCTCTGGCTTCAGTTTAGAAAGCTCAATTCATTCTGTGGCTATATAAAATTCATTAAGATAAAAAAATAAAAGAGCTACTCCCTTAAAGAGCTGCAGTTATCATTCTTGGTAGGAGATTAATGAATGAGGAAGTAAACCTGACTTTTAAGAAGAATCTTGAAAGCTAAATTTAGTTTCTTGCTGGACTACATAAATACTTATTTACAAACTTGTCAAGGGCAATATAATGTTAAGATGAAAAATTCTTAGATGGCAGACACTCCGTTCCTGTGCAAATTAAACATGTAAACCTCTACAACTGTTTTCTTAACTGTTAATTCCAGATAGTGATATCTGCCACCTGTATTATTATTATTTGGTTTAGAACTATTTTAGGTAAAACATTATTATGTTCTATAAGTGCTTAACCCCTTACTATTATTATCTAACAGCTAGATTTAGAGATTCATATTTTTTAATATTAACTATAGAATATAACTGTAACAGAACTTTTATGATTTCATAATTAATATCAGCCAATGAACTAAGTGTTTAGACAGGCATTGTATGCTTCCTATCTTGAGTGGAGCTAGTTTATAGCACAGCATGCAACATCATACATATAAAAAATAATTGCATTTTATATTTTGACATTTTTAAAGCTTAAAATATTGACATTAATTAATTATAATTAAGTGTGGAAAAACTACTCACTTTATAAAATGTAGAAGAAGATCAGTCACAAACTTAGCAGATTTCACAATAGGGCTTCCAGGCTCATTAAATGTTCGTGTATTATGCTCTATATATCGAACTTCCCACATTAGGGAAGAAACTCGCCTTAAACAAAATACAGAAGTCTTAGCCTCATTTTATTTAGAAATATTTCCACACAATTTAAAACCAAGACATTCCAACTTTTCAATGGCAGTCTCAATTCAATTACAAAACTCACCACTTAAAAAATTATTCTGAAAAAATATATATCTCATTTGGGCAGGGGAAAAAAAGGAGTAGCAACAGTAACTGTGTATTTGCATAGAAAATGTCACCCTAGATTAGACACACTAGACTATTAATAGTGGTTTCTTTTCTTTCTGAAAGTAAAGAAAAATCCAAAAATGACATCTAGAGTATCATCCAATATGTGGTCCCACTTAAAATAGCAAAGAAGAAAATGCTCAGAAAATATTACTGATACTGATGTGTGAACAGAAACACAATTATATGTAATTTTACAAATATTATATACAATTGTGGGTACAGAAGCATACAGAAAGCTGTGTGCTTTTCATACAGCATTGCAAGACTTATTCTAGTAACAGAATCACAGGCATCTTCAGGATACTCTATAGAAAACTGTGTAAAATAAGGTATTAGATTAATGCCCAGCAGGGCAAACGACAGTAGTAGTTTAATGAGACTGAACCAGAGGTATCAGAGAGGAAAACCATAAACTGCAAGAAATCTGTAGCCAATGAGTAAAGGAAAAACAAAACTTGAAGCAGTGAAAACGCACATGAAGGCATCATTTTACTAAATAACATAACTCAGGTCTTTATTACCAGATTCAAAAACAGGCAGTTTGTTTCTAATTTATGTAAGGATTGTGTTCCAAGATTTTTTCTTAAAGTGACTACTAAGCTAAGCAATTGCCAATAAAGCCTATTTAAGCTTTATAATGTACCCTAAAAAACACTACACGTTAGCAATTACCATATTAAGTAGTATTTCTATGAGAAAGTACATTTACAACAATAGTGGGAGATGTCAGGAGCTTATCTTTTTAGCTGTAATCCAACAATTAGTGTATAGGAACAACTCTTTCTCCCGTTTTCCTCCCCTATCTTGTTCCATCTCTGAAGCACTAAGTACAGTTCTTAAGGCTTAGCAATTTTAGGGGTCTAGGGACAAGGAAGGATATAGTTAAAAATAACTACTCCCTTTTCTCTTAAACTTCTAACATGTGATGTTAAAAAAGATTTAAAGAAGTGTACTTTGAAGGTAAGATGGCTGGGAGGCGCACATCATTATGATTTCCTCCTCATCTCTATGCTTTTGACAAATATCAATATACCAACAGCAGAAGCACCTAACAAGATCAGAAAAATCTTTAGAACCTGAAGTCTTAACATCTTAGTTGGCAATGTTTAAAGGCATTTTTCCTTTTTACAACTAGGGGTTACTATTAGCACCCAAAGGGTAAAGGTATGGACAGCCCCTCACAATAAAAAATTTTCTAGCTCCCAAATGTCAATAATGCTTTTGTTGAAAAACCTTGCTTAGTAAGTTAAGGAATAATAAATGGTGTTTCCAGTGCAGGCACAGAAAGTACCAAATCAGAATTATAATTTAAGGAATAAAAAGAACCGAAGGCACATTTTATATCAAAATATATGAAATATGAATAAAAATTCCCCTAAGTTAAAATGAATAGTAATGTAAAGAACTGCAGTAAAATGAAAGTGCTCACAAACTTTTTTTTTTTTTTTTTTTTTTAAGCAGGCTTCACTCCTAGAGCAGAGCCTAATGTGGGAACTTTTGCTAAGATCAAAAGTCAGATGCTTAACCACCTGAGCCAGCCAGGGACCCTCCCAAAGAAATTTTTTAATGCACTGATTTAAATTAAAATGTTGTCTTTTAAGCAAAAGTCATGAAAACTGGAAATATGATTTCATTATGTGAAAACTATAGACTTAAATTCACTTTTCTAAAAACGTATTCTAGGCAATAAGCCTACGATGCATGTCTCAGATTAGAACTCAATGTTTACTCAAACTGCTAACTAGAAGATGCAAATTAATTTAAATTAGACGTCTTTTTTTTAAACTCTATATTTCAAGCTAAAGTACAGCTATGAAAAATACCCTAATTTTCCTAACTTTGTTGTTCTTAAGTATTTACAAGCAAAATAAGAAAAAAAAAAAACCTACAACTTTTTAATATTGTTCTATGAAAAAATCCATGAACAAATATTTCAATGTGATATCTGTGGGAAATGAAATACTCTGGCTTGAATTGTAAAATACAGTATGAAGACAGTGAGGTCCCATCCCACTCATTAGCAACTAGAAAAAACCGTATCTATGAACCATATTCCAAGTCTATAGATCAGGAGCATCAGCATCCCAGGGAACTTAGAAATGTAGAACCTCACGTCCTACTAAAACTACTGAACCAGACTCTGCATTTTAACAAAATCCCTAGGTGATATGTATGGACATTAAAGTTTGAGAAACACCCAAGGATCATTTAGTATTCTTTTGGTAGTAGCTACAGCAAATGGGTTCTAACCTGTAAAACCTGTTTTCCAGTCTTTGTTTAATTGTACTTAAATCCGTTGGATACGCCACTACAGTGCAATACATGGGATAGGCTTGCAGATCTACAGGGGCCACAAACGCTGAAGCAATATCTAGAATAAAAAAATTAGTTTGTATGTTTAATTTTCATGGTTTAACAAGACTTCACAATTCTGCTTGAGTTAAGACAAGTTCTGATTCATATAACCCTTAGACTGTCACTGTCTTTTCATAGAAAATACATACAGTTTAGCTAGCATAGTAGAGTCTCACTTCTTATTACATCTATATTTACACCGCAAAATTCTAGGGATATTTGTTATTCAGATTTCTTAGAAGAAAAGCCATGACAGATAATATATAAATCTGACCTATTAAGTATACATATATTTCTATACTTAAAACCTGGCCAGTCCTGAATCTGTAGGTTTTTCACAATCATTCAGTAACACTATAATAACACATTCCATTCAAATGTAACCTTTCTCAAAAACTTACCTTACTTTAACAACATAATTCTGTGAAATATCAGGCAAGTACAGAGGAAGAACAGATCCAGAAGTCTCTGACTCAACGTCACTGACCAAATGGCACACAGTAAACTGGTAAAATCTAAAACCTGATAAAGATCACTCTCCATTTTTTGCTTATCCACATTTAGTGTAAGACAACTTCTTATGCTAAACTACTAAAATTATTTAGGATTATATTTATAGACTCTTTAAATGAAGTGTTGCCATATTTAAAAAGACTTCAAATGAAAATATCATCCAATATGTGTCTCCAGAGTATTTTCCTCTTCTTATTCATCATTTTTCCCTTTTTTAAGCTTGATTCCCTATCGACAGAAGGGGTTGCTACCAACCACCACACCAGTTAGAGTTGTTTTGGAAGCCCTTAATTCAGATAACCAAACATTTTGTGGCCATTGTTTTTCTTTTTTTCATATGAGACAAAGCATTTCATTCTCTCCTATTACCTTGCAAGTATTCCCTTGTGTATATATTCATAAAGTTAAGGGGAAAACTGGTACAGCTATTCATATAATTATAATTCAGCATTCAGCCCCACTCTCCCAATTCACGTCATGTCAGCTTAAATATGTTGAGGGATTTCAAGTTGGGTTCTGGAGGATCCAGATTTTTCAGAGGTATCCCTGGCATTTCTGGGGGCCCTCACTCTGTTTGAAAACCACTGACATGACACTGTGAAGAAAAATTTTATTCAAATACTAACAGTTTTCCTTTCCTTTGCTTTTTGCCAGCTTGTCCTGCATTGCTGTGTTACTATTATTATTTACCTAGTGTCATCAACTGGTTTATTCCTGCAACAATTCTTTCACATTCTTCATCCCTGGGATTGGAACCCCATTCTCCATCAAGAGGTTTATAGATCAATGATCTGCATTCAACATCAGTTAAAGGAACACTGGTACCTAGTTCTTCAGGAAATACAGCTGAAATACACAGAAAGAAAAGCAGATTTAGTTAAAATGTCTTTCTTGCTAATATTTAGGTTATTTGTTAATATTTAGGTTATCTTTACAAAGAGTTGATATTGTCAAAAAAACCTAAAGTATAATCTTGTAAAGATCTGGTAAGTATATTCCTTTTTTTCATTAAAGAGAAATATGTTTCAAGGGTCAATAACATTAATTTTTAAACAATTTTATAAATAATTCTCTAGATGGGTATATAATTACTTTTCCAAAATTATACCAGACAACTTGCTCTACTATCAGTTTCAGATAAAGGACAAATATTTCTGTAAAATGATAGAAATTAAAGATTTTCTGAATTTTATAATATAATCTTCATATTTATTTTGATAAAACATACACAAGGTGAAACTGAACTAAAGTGGTGTTTTTCATGAATACTGTAATCGAAGTCTCAACTTTTTAAAATGTGGAAACAGAGAATTATTAATACTAACAGATGATTCTTATACTTCTTGCTTTTAAATGATGAAGGCATGCCTTCTGGATACCTGAATCTTTAACAGTATTGTTAGGAGGTGATGGTGACATAAAATTTACAAATCTGCCAAGTACCTTTTCCTTTGAGCTAGACTTCATCAGAGAACACTGGAAAATATGCTACTATTTGTATACAAAATTCTTCCTCTACAAAATGTAATTAAACTCCATAGGTGCATGTGTGTATATATATCAGGACAGAACAAAACCAACAAAAACCACCCCCTTCACCCACAGCTAAATTTAGGTAGGAAATACCGTATTAATTAATGCCACTAATTCATTTCAAGAAATACCCCAAGCATTACAACACTGACTAGCATCACTTCTCTCATATATAGTCCAATGTGACTTCAAACTCAAGCTTACAAGATAAATAAAATCAGAAGATAAGCCATGTAACAATGTTACAAGTTGTATAAGATATTTTATAGTTTCAAACAGCTCTAATTTAGTAGTGAGATAAAAAAATATGTTATTGGTATTAAATTTTCAAAGCGATAATTTTGAGAAAGAACTAGTTTTAGATAATGTATGAGCATGATTTTCTCATCTCTAAGGTTTACCAGCTGGGTTAAATTTCCAAGTTATCTTTTCTCTGACTTTTGAGAATACTGTAACTAGTGAACAACTGCATTATAAATGATTATTTCTATTATGTCACAAGAGCTCCTCCCTTTTGTTTTTTAAAGTCTTTATTCTTACCTGAAAAGAAAAGTGACACATTGGGAAAAATCCCCAACCTTTATAATCATTCTTAATATTCTGGAATATACAGCTTTTTAAGTCCTTTTATGCATATATACTTATGTGTGCGATATCTTTTTAAAAATAGAAACAAAAATGGGCACTAAGGTAGAAGGAAAATGCAATCTACAGGCTTCACCCACACCGGCTTTTTTTCAGTTCCAGGAAGAGATCTGCTTACTGCCCAAATCTGACTCCCTAATCCTAAGGCAATATATATCAGGCCATATGCAAGAAGACAGTTGTTATTAGTAGCAAACTACCTACTCTTGGAGGCCCTTACATGTGTCAGGCTCTATATTAAGCTCTTTATGCACATGATGGCATTTAATTCTCACAACAGCCCTGTATTGTATTAGTTTACCTACTTTCAAAGGCTGAAGTCCTAAAAATCTGAAGTTTTAAGTCTTTTAAAGAGCTTGCCAAGGGGTGCCTGGGTGGTTCAGTCAGTTGAGTGTCTGACTTCCGCTCAGGTCATGATCTCACGGTCCATGGGTTCGAGCCGTGTCAGGCTCTGGGCTGACAGTGCAGAGCCTGGAGCCTGCTTCAGATTCTGTGTCTCCCTCTCTTTCTGCCCGTCCCCTGCTCACGCTCTCTCTCTCAAAAATAAATAAATATTTAAAAAAAAAAAAAAAAAAAAAAAAAAAAAAAAAAAAAAAAAAAAGGAACTTGCCAAGATGACACCAGATAGAAGATGGCAGAGACAGGGTATGAGTATTTGTCTCACTCAAAAGGCTGAATCTTAATATTCTTAATATTATGTTATAGTCTTAAGTGTTCCGCTGGAGTTACAAAAAAAAAAATCTTTGCTCCCAAATGCTCACCTTCTAGGAGGGAACAATAATTAGCAAAACATTTTCATATTTTGCTATAATTAACTAATTTCAATCTTCACTGTAAGATTATAAATTCCAAGTGGACAAAGATTATGTCTATCATGTTCAATGCTATGCCATCTCTACCTTCAATCCAAGGTCACAGCAGGTGTGCAATAAATAACTGCGGAATATTTTGTTTGCTCTTCATAACAACCTTACGCAATAGCAAGTCAGCAAATCAGATTCCTTATTTAAGAAACTAATTTTGTAACACAGACACAAAAAGCCTAACATACACTTACCATTATTAGGAATAAGCTCCATATCCCAAGGACTCATCTTTTCTGTATCTCCATTGTCCCAGCTTAAAGGAAGGAAAATCCTTACATTAAAAAATCTAAATATTGTGTTGTAAGTTTTACAAAATCACATTAAGTGTTTAAAAGAAGTGTCTTTGTCACTTTATTAACAGATGGGGGAAAATATTAAAAGTAACTCAAGCTGAACTAAAATACAACAAACACTCCCTTACCAAACGTTATAGCACTGAAACAAACTATCAGGGTACTCAGGCTGAAGAGGTTCCTGGCTTTCAATTGTTCCAAACCACCAGGCATCATCTATGACTGATCTGAAACGGTCACCTGGATAAGAATAAAAGCCATCTCATTACTCTGAAATGTACTGATGCTGTACTTACTCCTTTTTACCCAAATCTAAACTGCCTGTATAATTTCAGAAAACATATAAAAAGTGACCTACACATTCCAAAATAAACAATAAATAAAATTAGTAATATTGAAGAAAAAACTTATTTAATAAACACATCAATATGACTTACCAGTTTCCAGTACCATTTCTTATATTTATTAGGGCCAGGAGAAATTCACTCTTAAGCATTTTTACCATTCTAGAATTTTAAGCTCATCATTAGGACTATGCCCAAACTTTTCATTCAAATAAAAGCACAGTTTAGATAATTTCTACCCAACAAGTATTTAGTGTCTATCTTTATTTTCTTGTTTCCTATAGGCAAGTTCCTCCAACAATCAAGACTCCAGCCTAGAAACAAAAATAAAACATCCAATCTGTTTGGTCCCTTTCATGTCAATCACCCTGAAGCTGTAACACTCCTGTATATACTCACTTTCCCTTTCCTATAAAAACAAGAAACAAAAAGAAAAACAACTAATCTTTGTAAACTAGACATCATTCCTTTTGTCTCTTTCCTTACCCAACTGTACTCAGCTACTGTCATGTTTCTAAAACTACTTTCCCAATAGACCCAATAAGCTATCTTCTCAACTTCCTTCTGTGTCATATGAAAACTGTAAATCAAGTCTTCCTTTCTGCCCCTCTTTCCTCTTCCTTGGCTTTCACAGTACAGAGTGGTTTTCTCCTGGTGAGCATAGGTTAGGGTCTGAAGGACTGGAGTTCAAATAACTTATCTGTGTGACTTTGAACAAATTAGGTATTTTAGAACTCATCTGAGTAAGTTTCATTCTCAAACCCAAAAGAGCAAGCATTTGTTTATATTCTCATTTTTACAAAAAAAAAGATTTAGAAGTTTGGAGAGACATATAGCATAAAATGAACTAAAAACTAAAAAAAAAAAAAAAAAAAAAAAAAAAAAAAAAACTAAAAACTAAAAAAAAATTAAAAGAAATTTAATGACAAACGGAAACTGGAGCCAGGAGTAAGTTAATAGAACACAAGTGCATGTTGCTGAATTATATCTAACTTTGAATGGGTATGCATTGGGACCCAAATGCAGATTCAAGCATTCTAACAGCCAATGTTAAGCAGTAAACAGGATCTACTACCAGATCAGATCTCTACTTGCTCTTCAGATGCATATATATTAGTGACACTGAGCTTAGTGAGAAGCTACCATATAATTAATAAACAGCATTCTTGATGTCACCACAACCTTACAGTAAACATGAGTTTCAAAAAGCTATTTTTTATGATCTTACATACACTGATGACATTATGCTAAAGAAGAGGAACTGGATAATGTATGTCTAACCTCAACAAACAATACTACAGAGTAACAATGAAATTAAGCAAGGAATAGAGTACACCATTCAGAGTAAACTTTAAACATTTCTGAAGACATAGGTTATCAGCTCATTTCCGGAATATTCCTAAATTCTGACTGTTAATATTTGTTCTGCATTTTATTGGCAGATGCATGTCTTTAAAAAAATAAAATTTAGGGGTGGCTGGGTGGCCTAGTCAGGTGAGTGTCTGACTCTTGATTTCAGTTCAGGTCATGATCCCAGAGTCATGGGATCAAGCCCTGTGTTGGGCTCCATGCTGAGCATGCAGCCTGCTTAAGATTCTTCTCTCTCACCCTCTGCCCCTCTCCCCTACTCATGCTCTCTAAAACAAAAAAAAATATATATATAAAATAAAATTTATCAATAACACATTCAAATAGTTTAAACAACCAAGTGTACCAAAGGCTTATAACCAAAACCAAGAAAAACCTCTAACTCTTGCAAAGATTTCTTCTTGAATTTATTTAGACTTCTAAATGAGTATACAGCTATGGCTTCACTCATTAATTTTAGACATTAAGTACTGACCTCTCCATATAATTGTATAAACAATTTATGTGTATTTTATTTAATCTATTTTGTTTCTATCAGCACTATGTTTGCTACAAAGCCAAACATACAATTCCCTTCTTCTATAGTTTTGTATAATAACTACTTCACTGTCTGTGGTTGGTTTTCTCTGTATTTATAAAGTCTTCCCACATTCTCTAAAGGCTTAAATTATAAAACATTCCTCAACTTAATTTCCAACAAAGTCAAACACATTAGATAATTCATCTGTTCCATTTTCTTTTTTTCCTAAAGACTGCTCTTAGAGGACAACATCTTCTGAATTATCATTTTATAGATCTTGCTAGACAGATGCTATCCTGAGACTTCTATGGACTATTACTGGGAATTCATTTTGGCTCTTTCTTGTTCTGGATTTTCTGTTTCCTGGTGGAGAGGAGGGGATTCCAGGTCTTTCTCTTCCTTGGTTCATTTCCTTATATGATGGAACATACCTTTCAAAGTTTCCAGAAAAATGGTGTAATAGAATTTACATGGAATGTAAATTTTTTGATAACTCCCATGTCCCTAATTTTGATAAACTGTATTTCTCTAATTTTTCTTTTTGGAGCACACATATGTAAATTTCTAAGTTTACCATGACCAAACAAGACAAATCACCATGCCAATGCCTTCCAATGGCACTGGAAGAGAGGTGGACTGGCATATCAACTGATGTGGTTTTTCAAACCAAATATGCCATATATGTACCACTCCAAAGAGTGCCCCTATTTGAAAATTAAAAAACAAAAACAAAAACAAAAAACCCAACTCTAATGAACTGCACATCCATGTGTACATAAATGAATACATATTAAATGTCTGGAATCTTTTAAGAATTTTAAAGTTTCTTTGAGTCTTGATTACAATATTAAGTTTAAAGATTATAACATTAAACAAATGAAAGGAAAATGTCAGTTTAGCTTTGGCCCCAGTCCAAATTATTAAACATTTTGAACTGGAAGACATCTTCTGCTTCAACTTTGAATTATTATATTTTTAAAAGAAAATTTAAGTCAACACATAAAACAGCTGAAGAAATAGCTATAAACAATCTAATGAGTTACCAAATCTGAGAGAGAACATGTTTAGAATTTCAGCATGAACTATATTAAAAGTAGAATTGAGCCCTGAACAATACAGGTTTAGACTATGTGGGTCCACTCATACATGGATTTTTTTCCCTGATATATACAGTACTGTATATGCATTTTTTCTTCCTTACTATTTCTTAATAATATTTTTTCTCTAGCTTACCCTATTTTAAGAATACAGTATATAATACATATATAAAATATGTATTGGGGCGCCTGGGTGGCGCAGTCGGTTAAGCGTCCGACTTCAGCCAGGTCACGATCTCGCGGTCCATGAGTTCGAGCCCCGCGTCAGGCCCTGGGCTGATGGCTCGGAGCCTGGAGCCTGTTTCCGATTCTGTGTCTCCCTCTCTCTCTGCCCCTCCCCCGTTCATGCTCTGTCTCTCTCTGTCCCAAAAATAAATAAAAAACGTTGAAAAAAAAATTTAAAAAAATAAATAAATAAATAAAATATGTATTAATTGTCATCAGTAAGGCTTCTGGTCAACAGTAAGCTATTGGTAGTTAACTCTTTGGGGAATTAAAAGTTATACACAGATTTTTGATTATGCAGGGGGTCAGTACTCTTAATCCTTGCATTGAAGGGTCCACTGTTAAATACCTGACACCATATCTTACTTTGCTATCAACGTTCCCACAAATGGCAAGATTTCTCTGATTATCTTTTTCTAAATTATTAAAAATAGTAAATAATTTATTAGATTAAAAAAATTACGAACATGTATGGCTTCTAAATAAATTACCCACCTATGTTCCACCGCCTATATTTTGCGTCATCAAACTGTTGTCTCAAGACTAGGAAATCTATAACATCAGGCATATCATGGTATCTAATTACAAATAGAAACAAATTGATTAGGTCACATACCTAAAAACATCTAAAAGTTCAAATTTATATGAATCTTGAAAAACAATCTACTATACTAAGAAACCACTGCCTCTTTCAATAGTCCTTACTTCATGGTAAATGATCCACCAGTCAGTTTACCAGTGTCAGGATCAAGAAAAGCAAGTTTAAGGCAGCAAAGGGTAGGTAATCCTACTTCATACTTTATGCCAACTATTTTCATCAGTTCTTGTTCCTGAAAAAAGATATAAAAAATAAGAAACCATCTTCACAAAATAAACTGATAAAACTAATTAAAACATTTCTTCATTTCTGTCTTGATCTAGGTGGTGATTATCCTGTGCATGTAAAAATTTGTTGACCTATGTACTGAAGATCTGTGCATGTTATAGTACACAAATTATATCTCAACAGAAAATTTAAAAAGAGAGGGGCGCTTGGGTGGCTCAGTCAGTTGAGCATCTGACTTTGGCTCCGGTCATGATGTCACGGTTTGTGGGTTTGAACCCTACATTAGGCTCACTGTTGTCAGTGCAGGGCCTGCTTCAGATCATCTGTGCCTCCCCTGCCCCTCCCCCACTCAAGCTTTCTCTCAAAAATAAACATTAAAAAATAAATAAATAAAAAATTTATAAAGGGGAAAACTTTACTGAAATAAAAGTTTTCCAATATAGTTCCAAAGACCTCTACATAATTTTGAACTCTGTCTGATAAATCTAGAAATACTCACACACACGAAGTTTACCTTAGACATTAGTACTAATTTTCTCTATAATTACATTTTGTACCCAATTTATAAACTATAGGAATATATAAATTCAATCTTGTGTCTCTCTGAAAATTAAATACCTTCTACTCTCTAGGACTGCTTCAACTAAAAAAGGTATCTTCATGGAACAGTTTCTTACAGTGAAAAGAGTACCATTCAATACAATTTTCTACATAATCTAGAACTTTTTAAATAATAAACACCATACCCGTAGTTCCATTTTATGCCACGGCTGTTTTTTGGGATTGATACTATAAATCTTATTTTTCCGGGCCATTTCAACATATGCTTCATGTCCTTGCCGGAAATAATAAACCTAAAAAGTAAATAAAGTCACAGTTTTAAAACTTGAATGTTTCCTTTAACCCAAGATGCAAGGTATCAGCTAAAATTGCAGGAGAGAATTTAATGTTCTTTGAACAGAAAGAAATTCTAGTATTTTGTTATTTTCCCCCTTCTTTTCCTAAAGTTGTCCTAATGTCACTTAATCATAAACAAAGTGTTCTAAATAACATTACTTTGGTTACACATTAAGAGGATAAAATGAGCAGTTTGTTTGTTTCACTGTTTTATTTTTGGATTCAAAGTAAGTTGACCTATGTTGTATAACAAAGTAAATTGTAAGTAGGAGTCACCATCAGTTTATTATTCACTTATTTTGGTAGCAAGTGGTATGTACATATGCAGAAAACTTTAACATGAAAAATGTATTTATATAAATTTATTTTATTGTTAAAAAGAGAACAAGGCATATATTTGTTCCAATTTTATGAAGGTCAAATTTGACACTTGACTACCATCTTGTAAACTGGTACTTGACATAGTAGTCTGACACCACCTATTCTTCCCACTACAAAAAAAAATAATAGAGCTTGTTAAGAAATGCTGCTTAAAATTTTAAAGATGTTACTGAGTTCTTAGTAACATTTTGGGATATCCATTATTCTACGTACTTTTGCTCCAGTTGTTTGAAATTTCATATGAAGGAATAGTGCTTGCTGAATAATGAGAACTTACCTGTTTAAGCATCAATGATCAAAAAGATAAGTTTAACATATTGAAAGAAAATTGTTTAACAAGGATTTACACACTTTCTAGTAATAGTGAATATAATTTACTGGAAATAATAAATATAATTTAACCAAGCATCTTCTTGATGCTCAAGGATCTGTTAGGACCTATCACCATTACGGGAATGTTCTGTGCACTTCATGTCTTCTTTAGTAGGGTCTCTAAATGAGTTTTTTTGGACCGCTCTTTAGAGTTACTCTTGCATTATATGTTTTCTTTTTTTTAATGTTTATTTATTTTTGAGAGATAGAGACAGAGCCTGAGTGGGGGAGGGGCAGA